TATTCAAATATGTGCCACAGCCAAGCAGCGCGCTTTTCACTTTCTTTGACGCGAATCGAGTTGCTTATAAAAGAAACAAATATGAGACGCTCGCAATTCGTTTACACAATGACTAAATTTGAGTTAAATAAGCTTTTACATACATAGAGAGTTAAATATATAGAGATACTATATAGTTATATTTTTCCCACTCGAAATATGCGCACTTGCACTTTTTTTTGTTGAGCCGTTCTCTTGGCCCGACTTTGAACAGTGGGAGTTATTTTCCACTTATTTTTTATAGCTTGATTAGCACACAATAAAAGCTGATAGAAACTTTTCTGCGTTCGGCTTGTTATTTATTTGTTGGATTCCATAAATGTATTTGCTTTAATTAATTCCAAATTAACGTGCTCATTAAACTATTCAAATTTCAAGCTGCAAATGTGGCCATTAAATCTGAGGCTTTTTTTGTTAGTTCACATATATTAAAAGGCATTAGAAGTGTTGAAATTGATATTTGCATTTTAATCTAATAATTGCTTTTTAGTCACATCTAATTAATTTTTGTATGATATTACAATTAATAGATTTGCATTTTAATTAATTGGAATTATTTTTTTCTGTTCAAGTATTTAAATTATATATATGTATTACATTAAATATAAACTTATGTATTTACCTTTTAAACACGTTAATAAATCTTTGTTAGATGTTATTTAGTATTTTTGAAACATTTATTGATAAACATTTTTTTTTAATATATTTATTTTGTAATTTTCCTGAACTATTTAATTCTCAATCATTTATATATTTTTTCATGTTCCTGTATTTTAAATAATGTTGGTTTGTTTATTTATTTACTGGCGCTAATTTTTTATTTCTATATAATTTATTTTGATTTCCATTATCTTGGGTTTGTCATTTGCTCAAACATTGATTTATGTGTATATATTTTTAAAACGGTATATTTTTAATACCTAATCGAATTTGTATTTTCGCTTGCAATAATTTAAAAAACCTTTTAGTCATTTCTGATTAATTTACTTGTAGATTTTTTGTTCAAGTTTTTATAAATTTGCATTTATTAATTTTTATATTGTATTTTTATATATATTTTTCAATTTATTGCATTATTTTTACTGCTGTTGAGTTTTTAATATCATTTTTATTGTATTTCGGTTGCATTACCGCATGTAATTGCTTAATTGAAATTGGCTTTCAATTTCTGTTTTATTGCTTTTGTTATGACTCGGTCGGGTCTGATGTCAGTTTTCCAGCTCATTTTCACATTTTCAATTGAAAAATTGCTGCCAAATTTGGCAGCGAGCAGCGAGCGTTCTGTAAATGCCGACACCTTAAAGAGCTGGCCAAGCAGAGTTTCATGCTTGGCTTGAGTGGCATAACGTGCTGCAGACACGCGCTCACGATTACAGCAACAGATACAGCTACAGATACAGATACAGACACACAGCTATGGCTACGTCTACAGATACAGATACCGATACAGAGACTCGTAGCTAATAGATACACGCATCGGCTACGTGTATCTGAAGCTCTGTGGCGATTGGGCTTAAGCAGCTGTCGCTGTGAGTTATGCTGACCAGGCAGATCTTGCACGATCTCACATACATACACATATATGTATGTATTTAAATATATATTTCTATATATATTATATACTGCACTTGCGCATTTTTCTCCTCGTTGATTTTCACATACAGAACGCGTGTTCAATATTTATTTAAATATATGCGTGCGTGTCCATCACACTCAACTGCTTAGACATTTATTTAGTTGTTTATACAAAAACAACAACAAAAAGTCTGTTTTTTGGTTAATTTGGTTTTTTTGTTTTGTTTTGCTAGTTTGATTGTTCCGCACGATCAACGAGGCGAGAGGCTTCAGCCTCAGCTTCAGCTACAGCTTCAGTTTCAGCTTTGGCTTTGTAACATACCGACGACGGGTTTATCGCTGGGCAGCTCGCTCCGATGCCCGAGTTCGACTTCGAGTTTGAGTTCGATTTCGATTTCGATTTCGATTCCGAGCGGCGACGGTCGCAACCTGACGGCACGCTAAACTCAACTAAACTGCGCTCCAGACCCGAGCACAGGCGTCTCTTAACTCACATTTTTAACAGCGCTGAGGCTCAGTTACGTTTTTTTTTTTTTTTTTTTTCTGTTCGCAACAGGTAGACAAAACTTGCGCTCCCGCTACCTCTGAAGAATGTGTGCGTGTGTGTGAGCAGTGCAGCGTAGCTGAGCATGCATTGGCGCTCTCTATGTGAGTTTGTCTCAGTTTTATTCTGTGTGAGAGTGTGTGTGTATGTGTGCGTGTGTGTGCTTTGTGTGCAGCTTATGCATCAGCTGTTTTTACTTCGTAAGCCAGCAATGGACTGACCAAGCAGCTAATGAGTGTGTGAGAGAGAGAGAGAGCGAGTGAGAGGGTGAGAACGAATGTGTGTGGGAGCGAAAGAGTGTGAGAGCGTAACAATCAATGAGTTTTGCGGAGTTAAGCTTAAAGTCAGGGCTGCAGTCTAATACAAAAATGAACTGGAAATTGGATAAATTAAACTTAAGAGTGATAAAACATGATCAAATTGTAATAATTTAGATTTATAAATAATTTACCTAATTGACAAATAACTTAAAGTTAATGCAACGTGAATAATAAAAATAATATTTATCTTCAAAGATTATTTATGATGTTTATAGTTTTTTGTCGTGTTCTTAGTCTAGTTTAAAATTAATATTTGTATACCCAGAACAAAAAATAATATTTACGAATAGTTGCAAATAAAAGCCTGTTTAATCTCATGATCATATCAATGTTTAAACAAAATTTGGCAGAAGATGCATAAAAAATCATTGCATACTTTTAGGTAAATGTTTTTAAAAGCCAAAAGCCAAATAAAACTGATTCAAATTTAATAAAAATTGGCCTTTACTATATATATATTTAAATATATGAAAAAAGACAATAGTTGTACAACACTAGCTTAAGCTCTTCAAATATCTTCATCTTCACAAATATGAATAATGGATAAGTGATTTACATATATAGAATAAATTAACTTATATCTAGCTTACAATCAAGTTAATAATATTAGAACAAGTTATCTCCTAATTTAATTCCACTCAACAGCATTTCAGGCGTTATGTGAATTTGATTTCTCTGGCTGCTTTGTCCGATACCTCAAGCCGTGCTCCATGTAGGTGAACGGAGGATTCGGCTGAGTCATGCAGAAGTACAGGCCCTTCGCATTGGCCGGGTAGATGAGGCCGATGTTGATCGTGTTCTCGAAGCTGCAATCGCCCTGCCGGAACTTGGCCCAGTTCTCGCACTTGGTGGCTGGTATCATGACGCCCTCGATGAGCGCCTCCATGAACAGCACGAATGGGTACATGTGACTGCAGATCTTGCTGTCGCAGCCCGGCTGCAGTTTCTTGCGCGGAAAGTAGCCGATGCCATTGGGATAGATGTCCACGTGGCCCAGCGCCACACGCACACCAAACACGTCGCCCTCGCCGTGCAGCACCACCACACGCGCCGCCACATTGTGCCGGACGAGTATGTCGGTGGTGCGGCACATGGTGGCTGGATCGATGGCGATCAGCTGACCCACCTGCCGCTTGCTGCTCTTGGCAAACAAATCAGCGCCCAGCGCAGCAATATTTGCGCCCACCGAATGCCCCGCCAGCGTAATGTCCTCCGGCGCAATGCCCGCATCCGTCAGCGAGCTGAGCAGCTTGTAGATGGAGTAGCCGTGCACGGAGAGATGATGCCGCACTGTGTAGTACAGCTGGGCCACGTTCGTGGCGAAGTCCACGATGATGATGTTGAGGTCCCGACGCGTCGTCTGCAACAGCATCAGGTGCTCCTGCACGCTGAAATAACTGTCCGCGGTGTGGAACGCATTCACATAGATGAGAGTCTTGCGCTGCGGATTGATGTCGAAATCGCGCAGCTCCGGCATCGACTTGATGGGCAGCTGAATGCTCTGATTGGTGATGGTCATCACGTGCAGGCGCGCATCGCTGGGATTGATGCCCTCGTAGAGCGCCATGACGCCCTCGTCGACGGGCGCATCACCTGGACGGAAGCTATTAGCGAACTGATTGCCCAATCTCGGCCAGAATCAACTTACAGAATGCACGCCAGCCGCGATTCAGCTGCTGCGACAGCAGCTCCAAATTGTGCTTCTGTATGCGATCTATGCTGGCCGTCGACTCCGAATGCCGCCAGATCGAGATCAGACATAGCCCGCAGAGCCATCTTCTCCAGCTCGTTGCTTGCTGCATTGCGACGACTGCTGCAGCTCAGCGGCTAACTGGGCGGTTTTATAGCCAAGCCAAGACGCTTATCGCTCCGGCCAGCTGAAGCGCTTATCTGGCCACAGAATTTCAGTTTTCGTTTACAGTTTGATCTACCGCTGACTGCAGCACGTTCGATGCCATTCGATTGGATGCGACTCTGTCCGCTCTGTCGGCTCTGTCGCTTTTTGGCTCGATCTGGCAGTTGTCTGCAGACCCGATTCGAGTCGACTCGGCTCCCGAGTCGAGCGGCGAGCGGTGAGAGCCAGATAAGCATTTTTGCCGCTGCACGTTTCGCGGGCTGTTAACGATAAGTCGGCCGATCGCTATATGTATGTATACATCTATATCTAGCAACAGATTCGCAGTCGATCGATTAGCGCGGATCGTGCCACAAGAAGAAAACGCTTGTTTTTGGTAGCTGCTTGCGCTGATAAGTTTCATTGAAGTACTTTTTGCTCTTGATTATACAGTTATCGATATACATATTTGTATACATATATATAAAGTGAGTGCGAAAAGACAACTAGGTGCTAAATGTAAATTTTACTAAATACATATATACTCTTGCCATAAATTTGACAATTGCCAACAATTTATGCTAATGAGGTAGCGGCGGCTGCTTGGGAACTCCCCTCCCTAGAGGAGTTACCATCAAATCTATCTAAAACTAGGCAATAATAAATAAGTCATCAAAACAGAAATAAATTCTCTTCTCTTGTTTAAAATAGAACTTAGATTTTACAAATTTATTTGTAACGAACACAAAAAGAAATTAAAATAATAAATAAACTGAGTGAACGACTTAAAATAAACATTTTGGTAGTCAAAAATACTTTCTGCTTCACTAGCTTCACCCCCTCCCAAAACTAAAAAGGGGGCGTGCCTGTTACGAAATCGACTAAGAAGTAGCTCTCTCTGCTGGTGATGTGTTCTGCGTAGACTTTGAGCTTAGAACTTCAGACCGGCCTGCACATCGGCCATGATGTTGGCCGACTTCTGCAGCTGCTGCACCTCGTCATCGGTCAGGATTTGCTTGACCACGGAGGTGACGCCGTTGGCATTCAGCACGCAGGGTAGCGAGAGGAACACGTCCTTGTCAATGCCGTGCTCGCCCTAAAAGAAGAGAGCGAGAGAGAGAGAGAGAGAGAGAGAAGGTTAGGCTAGTCTTTCTTCATATAGAGGCAATCTCTTCCAGACACTTACCAAGACGGAAGTGGAGACGGCAGCCACGCTGCTGGTGTTCCTCAAGATGGCCGAGGCCAGGGAGGCAGTGCTCAGGCCGATGGCCCAGGAGGTGTAGCCCTTCAGCCTAATGACCTCGTAGGCTGAATCGACGACCTGCTTGTGCAGCTCGTTCCACTTCTCTGGATCCTCACCGGTGCCAATGGTGGGGTTCAGCTCGCGCAAGCGCACGCCGGCAATGTTGACGCCGGACCAGACGGGCACCGAGCTGTCGCCGTGCTCGCCAATGATCCAGCCGTGGCAGGAGGTGGGTGCAACGCCCAGGCGCTGCGACATCAGGAAACGGAAGCGGGACGAGTCCAGGTTGGTGCCGCTGCCAATGACGCGATTCTTGGGCAGACCGGACAGCTTCCAGGCCACATAGGTCATGATGTCCACGGGATTGGACACCATCAGCAAAATGGTATCGGGACTGTACTGTGGGTCACAAAGAGTCAACGATTAGCTGAGGCATTCTGTGCGGGAAGCAGCTTCACTTACCTCCACCAGCTTGGGGATGATGTTCTTGAGAATGTCGGTGTTGCGCTGCACCAGGGACAGGCGGGACTCGCCCTCCTTCTGGCGCACACCGGCGGTCACGATGCACAGACGCGAGTTGGCCGAGGCGGCATAGTCGGTGCTGGCTGTGATCTGGGGATTCTTCAGGAAGTTGGAGCCGTGCTGCAGATCCATCAGCTCGCCCTGCAGCTTGTCGGCGCAGACGTCGATGAGGCACACCTCCTTGGAGACGTTCTGGGCCAAAATGCTGAAGGCGCTGGCCATGCCCACCATGCCGATGCCCACCACAGTGACCTTGTGGCCCGAGCTGGGCAAAGTTTCCGCCACCGGGGCCAAGAGACTATCCTTAACGGAGGCCATTGCTACAAAGAGAATTGGAGCCAATTTAGCGAATGCTCTCGCAGAGATTTATGCATGTATCCATTAGTGTTAGTGAGCTATGTATGTCACGTGCTCTGCGGAAACCTGGGACACTCACACACACAGACTTTGACACAGACCTATGTGTCGGCACTGCTTAACCTTCACGAAGGTCATATTTATATAAATCTGCCGACTGCCTAGCACGCAACACACCGAGTTCAGAGCATAACTAATACGCAACATAGCCGAAAGAAAGAAAAATAAAAAATAAAAAACTATCAAATAATTCTCAATTTTCGCGCTGCTGTCTCTTTTTATATACGGCAGCCGCTTGTGACTGGCTGGCACTTGTGACAAGTGATATCAGGGCTAATTAACTCCCTAATGGGTCTACGTTGCGTTTTTATCAAATAAACCTTCAAGCGAATTGTGTTCCACGGACTAGCGCATTGACACCGCGATTCCTCAGACTCGACGCTTGCAGCGTAATTTATACAATTTGCAATCAATATTTATTTGATTTATCGCTTGATAACCCATTCGCATTGTTAATGGGTATTACGAATGGTCTATTTGGACACTTCAAATGAGGAAGTCTGAACCGATCTAATTCGTATATGTATGTATGTATGTACATATAGTCATAATGACGCTTAGCGCCGGCTTGAACTCGTGTTGATTTGCTGTAAATATTTAATATAGATTTCCAGATAAGATTGGACACATATCGCTGCAATTGCAACAGCTGCTTATCTCTTTATTACGAATAGTGCTCTCCCTGTTCTGTGCACGTTTTTAATTCGAAATTCCCCATAACTGTTGAGAATTCTTGTTTTGTTTTGCCCTTACCCTGAACTTGAGAGTTTTCTAATTAAAAGTGCGGTCTATTATGAATAAAAAAAAAACCGTGAGCTCACTGACTTCTTAATAAGTTAATGGCTATGAGTGTTTGGGGCACTACGACAAAGTCATATAAGGTGAAGTGCGTTAGAGGGTGGCTCATAGAGTTTATATACTCGTTAAACAAGAGATAAAGGCTGATACACTTGAAGATACTCTATTTGAAGTGTGATAGACGGTGGTTCATAGAGTTTATACACTCGTTAACTGACAGATAAAGGTAAAGTAATATATGGCTATGTTTAAGAGATGAGAGTGTCTAAATGGCTGATACAATATTATTTTCAATCTAATAAAGTCGACTAATAATCTATAAAATTTGCATTTGATAATATTTTACAGTATATTACATTTCATGACTTATTCCCTTTATCAATTTCACCATTTAGTTCCTAAAAAATAAATAAATAAATTAGTGAGCGAGTATCGGGTAGTCAGTAAAACTCGATTGTTGTGTGCACTGTGTCTGAGTAGTCGGTAATCAATGTTGTAAGACTTATAGAGGAAGCCCACTCAGACTCGATTGTCTGTCTGTTGATGCAGATCAGTAATAGGTTGTAGGCACTTTCTAAATATCATATAGGGTATTTCCCAAGTCTAATTGCAAACACCTTTGCTCAAATAGCTATACATTCTTACCACCCCTCTCTAATTTTGCACTTACCATAGTGCTTCCCACTATAAATTATCTAAAATCGTCACCATATAATAGATAATTGACAACATACAGTTATTTGCTATATATTATAGAAAGTTCACAACAAAGTGAGATCATTCGCAAATATTTTATCTAGTTTTGGTCTGCCAAGCTTGGCTGAAGCTTACCTGTTGCAAATCCTAAACTAAATCGCCACAGAGATAAAACAAATTATATGGAAACACAAAATATATGTAGTAGCAAGTGTCCAAAAAGCGAATGACCTTCTTTCAAAGTCAAATGTTTTCCAAATGGGAAATAATTGAACGCACAGCTGTTTATTCGAATTAACGGCGCATGCGCCAAAAACGAAAACGAAAGCGAAAGTGAAAGCAATTGTCGTCCAATTGGAATTAGACCAGCCAACCCAGCCCCCCTCTGCTAGGAGGAAGTGCTCACTGTGTGTGTGCGTGAGTGTGAGTGTGTGCAAGGCCAAGGGCGAGCTTTGCAAGTTGAATGCACTTTGTCTGGGGCAATGGCTCAACAATGTTGGCCCACAATTTATTGCAGCGTCTGCTTTCTGCCTTCTCAGAGTTTAGTTTGCTTACTTKTGATTGTTGTTGTTGTTGGCGTTTGGTATACACTGGGAAAGATTCACTGGATATATGTGTTTGGGCGCCTCTGCTTGGATTGTGTTGAGGTCGTCGACGTTCCGTTCACTTTGCGCGTTCGTTGCGAACTGTTTGTGCTTGATGCGAGACTCGTTGGACGGGCGCTGCCGCTGCTGGATTTTGTAGCTGTTCCGCTCTCTGCTGCTGCTGCTGCCGCAGTCGCTGCTACTGCTGCTGCGGCGGCTGGCGTCAGGATGAGTGACGAAATGGCCTAAACGGCATTGTGAAACTGCGAGCGAGCGCAAGCCGGCTCAGCTAGCAGCCCGCTGCTCGCGTTCGCTCTCTCCCTCTCTTTCGCTCTCTCGCACGCACTCTCCAACACAATTTTTCGACTTCATTCCCAACTAACTGGGCCTCTGTCAAGGTGACCTTTTGGATTGCTTTGCTGTTGTTGCTGCTGATTTGGGCGTTTCATTTGTATATTTTGTTTTATTTTTAGCTGCGCCTCGTGTTTATTTGGTTAAATTATTCCAGGAGTTGCGGGGGAGTTCCCACGTGTGCCATCATTTACAATTCGATGCTTTGAGCAAGTCTCGAAATAGAGGCACATGCATCTAACGGTGGTTGCGTCTATGGCGCGTGACAGCAGCAGCGGCAGCAGAGGCGGTAGTGGCAGCTGCATGCGTGGATCATTTTGTGTGTGTGTGTGTGTCGGGACCCCCTCTGTGTATGTGTGTGTGTGTGGCTCACGTGCCATCGATCACACATGCTTGCATCCAGCCAAACGGAAGCAGGCAGAGAGCTGGAATACACACACTCTCTCTCTTTCTCTCTCTGTCTCTCCCTCCCTGTCTCTCCTTCTTCCTCTCTCTGTGCAACAGTCTCCTTTGTTTAAATTGGCCAACTGCCAGGGTGCAACCAGATGTTTCCACTGCATATGCTGAGTTTTCAATTGTACGAATTTTGCATAGCATGGAATGTTCTATGTCTAAGGTATATCTATTATTATTATGTCCCTGTAATTCAAAAGGGAGTTGTTACGTTCATTTTCCACTATTTAAACAAAGGCCGTTTAGTTATATTAGTATATTTTGAATGATTTAGTTAATTAATTTTTATATTATTTTTCTTCAGATCTCGGAAGTTTAGTCTAATCAATATTATTATTAGTTTATTTTAATTTATTGTTATTTTATAATTTTTTTCTATTATTTTTTTCCCTTCGCAATTTCTATTTTTATTACTATAAACCTGAAAAATTTTGTTGATTCAACAATTTTTCTCACTGTAGCGAATTGAATAATTGAATTAACATAAATTAGACAGCTGTGACGTCATAAGCTTACTCTCGCCTGAGAGATAGAGAGGGAGAGAACGAGAGAGAGAGAGAGAAAGAGAGTGAGCGTGACATTGAGAGCGCCGCATTGCCAACCGGCGGCGGCGTTCGTGACTAACTACACATGCTTCGTGTCTGCAGTTGATTCATGATTCGCCTGAACCACGCTCCTGCCGCCTCTCCCTCCCTCAGTCCCACACTCTGCCACAATTGCAGTTGAGCTCTGGCGACGACGTCATAGATGTAGCTGCGTACGGTAGGGGGAATCTCGGCTGACACATCCGCCGGTAGTGCAATTGACGCTCAGCTTGTGAAAGTGTGTTTGACCCACATTTGCCCCACACACTCTGCCATTCCAATGACGCCGCCAATGGGGAAGATTGTGAAATGTGTTTAAAAGCTTGGAGTGAGTACCTGTTGTGTGCACTCTTTAAAACGTGTTTCGTGAGGGTTATTGAACTGTGTCTCGCTTGTTTGGGGCATTTCACATAAATATTGTCTTATTGCGTTGGCTTTGATTTCCCATTTGTTGATCATGAAATGCTCTTAACGTACTTTTCCAAGTTATATGAGATTTGTTTAGTCTCACTTTGGGACATTTTTTTGTTTACTTTTTTAAAAAATTACTGATATTTGCTTTGATATACAGTGGCTCACAGCTTTATTCAACCAGTGCAGGAGTGTACATTTGGGAAGCTATGAAATCTAAGCAAAGAAATAAATGAAATAATTTAAGTGCAAGTCTTATGCTTTTAGCAGAAATGAGTTCATTTATTTAAAAACCTATTTAAAATTTAATTTTTTACCAATTAAGAATTCCCAGAAAAAAGTAAGCAATTTGCAGCTTAGTTCATATACATTGTGTATATTTGTAAAAATAAGAATTGTTTATCATTTTATAACTGTTTAATCATTTTGCACTTTGCAGTGGTTGCTGCAATGACTAAATTTTCGGGTGGCGCCACCTGGCGGCTAATCAGGGAACTTGTGTGTACGTTTGTGCTATGCTAGTTGTGTTTGTTATACTACTGGCCGCCTGGTGGCGTTTGCGCCTTGGGGAGGGTTAAATAGTTGTTTTGTAAGCATATCTTTTTATTATTACTTGACATAATTTATTGTTGATAAATGTAAATTTATATTTACTGTTTGTTCTTCCAGACAAGGCCTGTGGCTCGCTACAAATATTCGTTAAAGTTGCTGTTGTTGCGGTAAGAAAGGAAATGCCAAGCAGTCCACTGCTTGAGCAGGAGCCGAGCACTGCTTAGTAGATGTTTGTTTGTATAGGTATTTTTCACACGGCAAACCCTCTCCTACCTAAATTATAACTATTAAACTGATCTGGTACAACGGCTCATATTCCTCTAGTTAAATTTACATTAGATATCAATAAAGTCATATTATGTATTTAATATAATTAAAATTCATTATTTTACTAATATTTTCCTATGCAATATATAAATACCACAAAGTTGTTGTCCTCTTAAACAACTGGCTTAAGCGACAGTTGAAAGGAATTTAACGATTAGTATAGGAATTTTTCATCTTTTACAGCTCTTGGAGATGCATTCCACCTGTTTACGATAGGACATACAGGAACCCGGGTTACGCAAGAGAGGTTGTGCGTTTTCTAGATTACAGCTACAAAAACATGACACAAACATTTCTCATGCTGTGCAACGGCAGCAGCAGCAGCAGCAACAGCAGCAGCAGAGTCCAATAATAATCCTTAATCTGTATTTCGCCCATTGGCAATGCGTGCCAAAACAGAAAAAGTGAAAGATGCTAAAGCCAGTGCAGTTTATGCGATAGCGCCAAGCATCGAGAAGCGAGAAGTGTTCTTATCAAGGCCAGAGCATCTGATTGCCGCTTGTTGTTGTTGCTGTTGTTGTTGCTGTTGTTGTTGCTGTTGCAGTTGCAGCTGAAACGAGTAAGTCAAGTGGCACAAATGGAGTGCTTCGAGTTGTTGCTGCCACTGTTGCCTCTTCTTCTTTTTTGTTTACTGCTGCTTGGCTGGCACGCAATGCGCCTCCCAGTCCAGGCTGAGATGATGTCGCAGCAGCAGCAACTGTTGCCGCTGTAGCACCACCAGCAGCAGCAGCAGCAGCAGCAGCCAATCGCCAACTGCACATTAATATTCAAAAATTGCGTTTTTATGCTAATTTTCACACACGCCGTCTTCCTCTCCCTCTCTGTCTCTCCTCTCTCCCCTCTCTCTCTCTCTCTCTCTCCATCGTTCTGTGTGTTGGGCAAGCTGTCGATAGATTACTCAATGACAAGCGAACGTTCCATATGCCCAGCCCGACCCTGCGCTCCCAGTGCTGCCTGCGCATGTTGCCTTTGCAATTGTTGTTGTTGTTGTTGCTGTTGCT